CACTTACTGGCTTATTCTTATGTATGCCCTGACTGGGGATTGGGCCCGAACTTTGGCAAATCAGGATAATGCTCTAACCAACTGAGCTACCCGGCCATGGCTAGTCTGTGGGTTTTCTAATGCAGGACTCTGGTCTGGGCCTTCTGATTACAGATCCAGACTGCTCCCTCTGCACAACTGCTTCTGCCAGGTAGTCATTGATGTTTACGACAAATCTCCGCTCAGTGCAAGCAACGGAAAGTCAGATCTGTCTGATTCACCCCGGTGGATCCCCAAATTGCCCAGCTTGATGACAACCACTGGGGTACCTGGTCTGTTACGTGGGTAGGTGAACGGAAGACAAGATTAGTATATTCCTTTACCTTTGACTCAGATTGTTCCTTTAAGAGCTTTTAGGTAGTATTAGGGAAAAGGTTAAATATCTCTTCCAAATGTGTTATTTCACAAACGAAGTTAGGGCTCAAATACTCAGGGACTTGGTCTGTTCAAAGGGACAGACCCATAGCTAGTGGGTCTGTCGGCTGTCACTTAGCTTCATCAGTCAGACTTGAAGGCAGGATTATCAGGACTTTGTATGATACCTCCATGGAATCAGCCTGAACGACATTGTATCTATTTCTAGCTTATAAAACACTGCTGTTTCTTGATTGGCTACTGAAACACTCTCAAGTCTCTTAATAAAATAGAGATAACACCTCAGGGTTGATCTGGGGATTACAGGGGTTGATGAAAAAAAAAGCACCTATCATCCTGGCTCAATCAGTGTGTGTGTTTTTTCCCTGCTCCCTAGTAACATGTTGGGTGGACTGACTACATTAGAGGAACATTTGTAGCTTTTTTTAAAAAAAATTATTATTTTTTTACATATTTTATTGATTTTTTTTGCCCCCCTCCCTCCCTCCCACAAATCCCCTCCCTCCCCAGAGTTTTATGTCCATTGGTTGTACTTATATGCATGTATACAAGTCCTTCGGTTGATCTATTATCTCCCCCAGATCCTCCTCCCCTCCCCGCTGTAATTTGACAAACTGCTTGTTGCTTTACTGTCTCTATATCTATCTTTTGGTTCATCAGTTTATAATGATCTTTATTATCCACAAATGAGTGAGGTCATGTGGTGTTTCTCTTTCATTGACTGGCTTATTTCACTCAGCATGATGTTCTCCAATTCCATCCAGGTTGCTGCAAATGATGAGAATTCCTTCTTTTTTATGGCAACATAGTATTCCATTGTGTAGATGTACCATAGTTTTTGGATCCAATCATCTGCTGACGGGCACCTAGGCTGTTTCCAAATTCTGGCTATTGTAGATTGTACTGCTATGAACATAGGGGTGCATATATCCTTTCTGATTGGTGTTTCTAGTTTCTTGGGATATATTCCTAGGAGTGGGATTGCTGGGTCAAATGGGAGTTCCATTTTCAGTTTTTTGAGGAAACTCCACACTGTTCTCCACAGTGGTTGCACCAATCTGCATTCCCACCAGCAGTGCACAAGGGTTCCTTTTTCTCCGCAACCTCGCCAACACTTTTCGTTTGTTGATTTGTTGATGTTGGCCATTCTGACAGGTGTGAGATGGTACCGCAATGTTGTTTTGATTTGCATCTCGGATAATTAGTGACTTTGAGCATGTTTTCATGTGCCTTTTGGCCTTCCTTCTGTCTTCTTTTGAAAATATTCTATTTAGGTCCATTGCCCATTTTTTAATTGGATCATTCATCTTCCTTTGTGGCTTTTTTAAAATTGATTTGAGATGGAGAGAAAGACTTACTCATGCATTTCTGGTTGGTTGGTGTGACAGTCGATTGTTGTGTGTGACGCTCTAAGGGTCTTGCAGCTTTCAGGAGCGGAGCCCTGGGAGTGAGGGGCCTGCTGTCTTGGTTTGATCTGTGTCTTCAGTGCTTTTCTTTGTAAATCACCTGAGCTGTCTGGCACTCTCAGTGGGATTTTTTTGTTCCCAAGATAAACCTGTATCATGTATTTTTAAATCAAGGCCAGCTCTGAATCTTTAGTTTGCATAGCTCTTACCCAACAGCCTCAGCCTTAGATCCCTGGGGTTCTGTCTCATCTCCCAAGATGTATGTGGATTTCTTCCTAGCCCTGCTCATTCATTTAATTTGATGAGGGCCTGTTATGTGCCAGGCAGGGACTGTTGTAGGCCAAGGATATAGTATTGAACAAAAGAGGGGGGGAAATGCATATCCTTATGCAATTAGTATTTTAGTGAAGAGTAAAAAGGGTAATGGTTATGCTTTTCTGCTCCCTGCAGTTAGCTCATCAGGTTGTTCATTGGGTTATGAGCAGAAGCCTCATTTCTGGACTGAAGCATTTATTTGTTGGTGTGGAACTCTAGTACTCTCCTTTCCTTGCCTCAATCATGGAAGCACATACAGAGAGGAGCCATGAGATCAAACCAGTTTGGAATGCTGTCTCTCTCACATGGCAGGACAGCTGTTCTGGAGAGTCCCCAGACCTATAACGGGCTTTGTGGGAATGAGGAATAAACCCTTGTGCTTAACCACGGAGACATTAGTGCTGTGTGTTTCTACTACATAACATGGCCTGTTTCAAAAAGTTCAAGGTCTTAGTGACACGTCATCTTCTTGTTCTCCACGGGCTTGACCCTTGTCACTTGTGGCAGTTTTGGCAAAGCTAACCAAGTCTGATTTGTTTCACAATCAGACTCTGTTCTTTCCTGTCAATGCAACCAACGACAGAAGCAAAGGCTTTGGATCCTGAATTTTCCAGGTGGTGGTGGTGGACTACTCTTCAGCACAGTCACTTGACTAAATCTACCCTAAGAGCTACTTTCTTAAATCAAGTTCCTTATCTTTATCCTGTTTGTTTTTAATCCTCCCTGGGGATTTTTTAAAAATTGATTTTAGAGAAAGAAAAAAGAAAAACCATCGATTTGAGAAACATGATCTGTTGCCTCCCATACCTTCCCTGGAGCAATAATTAAACCCATGCTCTACTCTCACCTGCAGCCTAAGAAACACCATAAGGGTGGCCTGTGGATGTTTCTAGGTGGCTGAGAAGATACATGACAAGGGCTGCAGAGAAGCACTGTTCTGCCCCTGCTGCTTTTCCCAGTCTGCTCTTCCCTGTCAGTGCAACCAGCTAGATACATTGCCCTCTGAATAGGGAGACAAGGTACCCTAGGAAGTTCATGACACCGGAGCCAAAGGTACTTGAGCATTTTGTTATATCCTGCAGTTATGGTAGTCAGTGGTAATACTGTTTCACCACTTACAAAATAAATATAATAGCTTGCAAATATGTTGCAAGGATCAATGTAGATAAGTGTGCTTAGAATAAACTGCTCAGTGTTATGCTTAATCAAAAATGGGATACATAACCTAAGGAGATGTATCAGTATATTTCACATTTCACCTCCCTTCGTTTACATCCTGATGGACTACTCACCTTCATTGTGCAGCGAGTATTTAGAAATGATTATAGGATGAGGGGGACAGAATAAAGGCAGAACATGTAGAAACTGCCACTATTTTTTCCCTTATACTAAACACCCCAACTCATTAGCTCCCTCTTGAATATATATCCAGAATATTGCAATCTAGAATAACACATGATTAGGAAAAGTGTCATATCAAAGGGAAATAATTGAAGATTGAATATGTTGCAGTACATACTTAAATGCAGCAGTTTGTGATTTTTTTTTAAAGATGAGGTCAATATATTGAAATAAAAACTTAAAAATATAGTACATAGGTATAAATACTAGTACAGATTAAGGTCCAGAAAGTACTACACAGTACTAATCATTTCCTCTGAGGAGTGTAATTTTTGAGGTAAGAAAATGACGAGACTGCCCTAACTGGTTTGGCTCAGTGGATAGAGTGTTGGCCTGTGGACTCAAAGGTACCAGGTTCAATTTCGATCAAGGGCATGTATGTTGGTTGCGGGCACATCCCCAGTAGTGGGTGTGCAGGAGGCAGCTGATTGATGTTTCTCTCTCATCGATGTTCCTCTCTCCCTCTCCCTTCCTCTCTGTAAAAAATCAATAAAATATATATTTTAAAAAAATGACGAGACTTTATTTTTAGGTGAGAATATTTTGCAGTACCTATTCAATTTTAATAACAGGATAAAACATTGAGTTAAGAAAAGAGTTTTAGTCCCACTTTTGGCATTAGCACTAAAAGAATGCTCAGTCTTGCCAAAACCGGTTTGGCTCAGTGGTAGAGCGTTGGTTTGTGGACTGAAAGGTCCCAGGTTCAATTCTGGTCAAGGGCATGTACCCGAGTTGCAGGCACATCCCCAGTAGGGGGTGTGCAAGAGGCAGCTGGTCGATGTTTCTCTCTCATCGATGTTTCTATCTCTATCTCTCCCTTCCTCTCTGTAAAAAAATCAATAAAATATATTAAAAATAGAATTTTTTTTAAAAAAATAAAAGAATGCTCAGTCTTTCTCTTATCTCTACCCAGAAGTCAAGCCAGGATGAGCAACTGGGCTACAAGGAGGCTAGAACTAATAACAATGAAAGCAAGGATTCATCTGTGAGCAATAAAATGGGCACTCTAGTTCAAGATACCAGAAGTCCTGGGCTGTTCTTAAACTGACCGGCAAAGAATCCCCTTATAGAAGAAGCATAGAAGAGGTAGCAAGAGCCAAGGAGAGTGGGGTAAGGAGGTTTCAGGGGTCTAGCTCTGCTTTGGCTATGACCACCCATCCACCACCTTAGGCTGAGGAAAAAGGGTAACAATCAATAGGCTTTGCTCTACATTTCTCTGGATTATAGTGAGAATATCTGGTTTAGTCTTTGGGAAATAGTTAGGAATTCCTGGAAAAAAGAAATAGTGTTGCCCTGCTGGGTGTGGCTCAGTGGTTGAACGATGACCTATAAACCAGGAGGTCATGGTTCGATTCCAGGTCAGGGCACATGTCCAAGTTGAGGGCTCTATCCCCAGTAGGGGAATGCAGGAGGCAGCCAATCTATGTTTCTCTTTGGTGTTTCTCTCTATTCCTCTCCTTTACTCTCTCTAAAATCAATAAAAATACATATATTTAAGTGGGTTTTTTTAAAAAAAGGAATAGTGTCAGTTGAAAAATTTAACCAATTAGTTAAATGTTTCGGTGATGGAGATACTAAAAAACCATATGAAGAGCCCTCGTAGTTAATTTACAGGGGAGAAACCTGGCTTCTTAATGAACATCTGAAGGGCTGAATCAAACCAAGAGGATATTGTTACACGTCTGAAGAACTCTGTAGACTTGGGAGTGTTGCCTTTTGTACAACCTACTTCAGATTCATTCTCAGTGGGGTAGTGCACTGAGGCAATGTTAGGCAATGCTACATAAACACTAAGCTAATAGAGATCATAACTATTGGAAGCACCATAGAGGGCTTTGTGAGAATACAAGAAAAAGTGTGTGTTTATCAGAAATTGGAAGCTTGGATGCAGGCACAGCTCCTAGTGCACGGGCCTCAGGATGGGCCGCCCTCTGGAACCACTGGCAAAGAAAGTCTTTAAAGGAGTATTAGTAGCCGAATTAATGGGCGTCGTCGGAGCATACATTCTGTTTAATAAGATGGACACAAGCCAAGATTTTAGGCAAACAATGAACAAGAAATTTCCCTTCATCTTGGAAGTTTATTACAAATCCATTGAATATTCTGGAATATATGGAGTCAGAGAGCAAGATCAAGAAAAATGGTTGAACAGCAAAAGTTAGGAATTTGGTCACTGATCACGGTTTACCCTATCTTATAGTATTAGGCATGAACAAATTTTCAAAGGTGACATGGATAGATTTTGGAATATTAAAGGCAAAACGTAAATTCTAATTAAACCAGAGCTTTTATTTTTTGGACTAACTGTGAAGAAATTTATGGAAAGTATGTTTATTATGTTATAAATAAAGTTTTGTTTACACCAAAAAAAATAAAAATAAAAATTGGAAGCTTGGAAGAGAGGCCTTGCAGAGCTGGCATTTAGTTGTTGGGGGGTTGGTGGCTAGGTGGTGCTGCCAGACAGGCACTATTTCTTTTTAATATATTTTTATTGATTTTAGAAAGGAAGAGAAAGAGAAACATCAATAATAAGAATTATCTATAGACCTGCGCCTTAACTGGAAATCAGACTGTGACCTCCTGGTTCATAGGTCATCTCGCTCAACCACTGAGGCACACCGGCCGGGCATGACACTGGTATTTCTCAGGTGTCCAATGAGGATAGTTCTAGAAGATAGTGTCTTTGTTCAATGCTTTGTATGTACCTCCTACTATAAAACCTGGTACACTATAGACAATCAAATATTTCCTAAATGAATATATTCTCCAATTCTTACCTGTCTAGTGCTGTATTCCTTTTTCTGCTCAGCATACTCGAGAATAAAGCACGTTGGAGGGTAGAGGCAAACTAAAACTGCAAGGAGGTCAACACTTGCATCAGTTTTCCCTCGCCACTGCAAACCCATGAGTGGGAGAACCCTGATGGTGAGGCCTCCTTAAATATCTCCACTTTCCTGGCATTTTAATTGACTCAGTCATCAAATCTAACTTCATTCAAGCTCATATCCAAAGCCCCTCAATAATATATCCATTCCAAGCCAGACTGTCCCAAACAGGTCACATTCAAACCTAACTCATTGCCTTTGCCCATGATTTTGGAAAATTTAATTTTTGCCTCTGTGCAGAGTATGTAATTATGTGTCTTTGGGAATTAACCTACATAGCTTGTTATCAGGGCCATGCTTAAGGACCCTGTATGCAGGGAATCTTGGAGTAGCTCCAGCAAGGCTCAAACTGAGGAAATACTGAAGTATGTTCTTCTGTCCTGCCTTTGCATCCTCCTCTTCCCCAAAATTAAAAAAAAATTAAAAAAATTGTGCCTGTTTTGCTCATATTGAATTCCTCAGAAAAACAAACAAACAAACAAAACAACTCAGAGACATTTTGCTCACTTTTCAACATACCTTAGCCAAGGTACTAACATCATGCCTGTAACATACCCATCTTTTACTACATTTTATCTATGGAGAGTTCATAGAAGCTGGAATATCTATGCCTTGATCTGTATCAGTAAGTTGTAGTTTTGGTTCCTAGTGTTCCTCACATTTACTCTTACTTTCACCTGCAGGCACAGTCTCCTACAGTCCCTACATTTTCCTTGTACCCTTGATCTCCCTTCACTGTGACTTCAAATCCTTCACACCAAATTCTATTCCTTCTCTGCTTATTTCTTGCCCCTTACACTCTTCCTGCATGACCTACTGCCCTGAAGCAGATACTACACACAGATCCTCTTCAGAACCCTGCAGGCTTCAACACGGGTGTAAAGTTTCTAATTGAGAAAATTATAACCATAGGCCAAGGAAGGGGAGGGAGAAATATCTTTATTTTCATCAAAGATAATAATGCATATAAACTTGTATAAATGCAATGAGAGAAAAAAAAAAAAAACTGGGTTGGGAGTGATGGTGAGATGAGAAATCTTACAAAATTAACCTAGATAATTACACTTGCTTAAGATTAGGTTGTTTTGATTTAATATTACCCAATGGCTTAACCTATCCTTTCTTTCCTTTGTTCATGGTTCTGTTGCAGAATATTGTATATAGCAGTAAGTACCTAGTGGTCAATTATTGATTTAGAACAGATCCAGCCTATTAAAATTCTAGATGTACTCCCCAGGAAGGGACAGTATTTCTTATCTGATATGGCTCAGAAACAGTTCTCAGGCCACTAGTTATACGTTCTTTGTTCAGAACAAGGATACTGTAGTTTCCCAGCAGGAATTATGGGTTTTATATCATTCTCTCCTTCAAAGCAAAATGGAAATCCACAGTGAGACAGGATTGTGGAGTTCTGAGCAGAAATAGAAAGAGGCTCATGCATTCTTAGGCTGATTCCTATTCCTGGACATGGTTCTTGAGATCCAGTTGTCAAGTTTCCTGCTGAGCCAGGGATTGGCTAGTAGAACTATCCACAGAACAAGGAAGTTCTCAGAAACACATGTTGACCTAAGGAGTTGATATCAGGTTTTCTACATATTTGTCACATCTCTTGCTTTCTGTAATGTGTCTCTTCTATGTATATCCCGATGGCAGAAGAGGGAAGAGTTCTTAGTGAAGCTTTTCTCACACTGGAAGTACTTATGTGGCTTTTCCCCAGTGTGGGTTTCCTGGAGGGCACTGAAGTGGGAGCTGTTCTTGAAGCTTTTCCCACACTGGGCACACTGGTACAGGCCCTCCACAATGGGGACTTGCCAATGAGCGCTAAATGGAAAGTTGTTGACTCTCTTCCCACAGACAGTGCACTGATAAGGCTTCTCCCCAGTGTGGGTCCTCTGGTGAACTGTGAGGCTAGAGCTCTGGTTAAAGCTTTTCCCACACTCCCCACACTGGTATGCTCTCTTCCCTGTGTGAGTCCTCAGGTGGGCAGTGGGGTAGGAGTGTTCACTGAAGCCTTTCCCATATTCACAGTACTAGTGATGCTTCTTTCCTGTGTGAATTCTGATGCCGAACAAGGTAAAAACTCGGCCAAAGCTTTTCCCACATTCATGACATTTATAAGCTCTTTCCAGTTCAGTGGCTGGCTGATGATGAGAGAAGAGAGAACTATGAGAGTATTCTCTTCCACACAAGAGATGTATCCAGGGCTTCTCACTCCAAAATCTCTGGTGACTCATTCTCTCCTGGGATGGAGCTGTCTCATCACTCTCCCTGGTCAGTGTTTGTGTTGCTTTCTTATCATTGGTTCAGCTCCTAGCCTGTTTTGAATTCGAAGTGCCAAAAAAGTTTTCTACTAAACTTTCTCTGTAAATCCTTATTCATTTCCAATACTTCTGAATTATCCTATTTTAGATTGTCTTTTGTAATCCCATTCTTCATCTCAGAACCTGAAAGAATAAAATTACATTGGACTCTAGAGAAGGAAAACAATGGAAAGAATTACAATTAAACTACCATAAAGAAGAAATACCTGGGAACTTTTCCCCCTCCCCACATGGGAGTCCATTCTGGGGGACTCTTTCCTTCTTCCCACATGGGAGTCTGTCCTTGTTCTTCAATAAATCTCCATCTTTGCTATAAAAAAGAAAAAAGAAAAAAAAAAAAAGAAGAAATACCTAAATTGAATTCTTCATGTGACTAAGTCTTCTGCTAATAAAAAGCCTAAATTTTATTTTCCAATTATAACACTTTTTAGCTCCAAATTTGTGGTCACCCTACTTTTATTGGTGAGGATTAAAAAATATATAATAAATAAATAAATAAAATTAAGTAAAATAGCACTGCTCAAGCCTGGGGTGGGGCAGAGTCAGGACAATAGTTATCAGGTCAGAGGCAAAACAAAGAAAGGGAGGTATGGCTGAAACTGGTTTGGCTTAGTGGATGGAGCCTCGGTCTGTGGACTGAAAGGTCCCATGTTCGATTCCAGACAAGGGCATGTACCTTGGTTGTGGGCACATCCCCGGTAGGGGGTGTGCAGGAGGCAGCTTATCGTTGTTTCTCTCTTATCGGTGTTTCTAACTCTCTATCCCTCTTTCTTTCTCTCTGTAAAAAATCAATAAAATATTTTTTTGTAAAAAAGAAAGGGAGGCATGGCCTCTTTGGGAAGGATGGGGGTAGGTAAGCAGCCATGTGATGCCAGAGTAGACAGAATAAGAAAAAAACCCACGGAAAGCTCAACAGACCACATAAAATTCTTTGAATGAGTTTTAGAGTGAGTTAGTACAAAATGAAATGGGAACTTTAAGAGACAAAAGATATAACCATAGCTCACCTGATCTCAGTGGTACAGAGCTCAGCAACATCTCCTGATTTTGAAGACCCCTTTTCTGGAGATGGTTCCTGTAGCCTGTGGAGTAAGCCAGGTTAGGGGAGAAATATCCACTATTAGAAGGCAGCTTCCACATAACGGATTCTGAGTGGAATCCCTGGACCAACAGTATCAGCACTACCTGTTACACTTGCATATTCCTAGGACCCACCTCAGATCTACTGAGAAAGTCTGGAAATGACACCTGGCAATCTAAACATGTCTCCAGATGAGTATGATGCACAATCAAGTCTGAGGAAGACTTTCATAGCCAATGCCTCAGTGCGTGTAGAGAAGTTAATTTACTGGATGATTACTACTATTCGCAAAACAGCTTTTTTAAAATTATTATTATTCCAAAGAAATACATGCACATTATAGAAAAATTTTAAGACAGTAATGGTGGTGGTGAAAGTGTCACACTGCCAAATACTAGAGATAACTAAAAACTCTTAAAAATACCACAACTCAAACCTCATTTTTTTTTCCAGACCAAGATTATATATTCTTCCCCAGATCCCACCTTCAAGAATTCTACAAAAGGAATTGTTCATTTAATGACATTCAGAGGCCTGTGGCCTTGGGGCGGTTACAACACCTGGGATCTGAGCAGCCTGTGGGCATGGTGAGGGACGGGGGCAGAACTGGGACACAGTGAGTCCTACCCCTTTTCCTCAGACCCCAAGCTTCAGAAACCACACACACGAGCACAGATGTTCCCAAGGATTAAAAGAACATAAATGCTAAATGGCAGCATTTAAAAAGATATTAATAGAGTATTTATATTGCTCAAAAAATACAAATGTTAATAAACCTTTTAGACAATTACCCCTTTCATTAGCAGAAGCTTACCAATTTAAAATGCATGAAGACACCATGCTCTCCTCTGGGATTTGAGTTATATAAAGATGAGCTAGCTTTTTTTTAAAATATGTTTTATTGATTTTTTACAGAGAGGAAGGGAGAGGGATAGAGAGCTAGAAACATTGGTGAGAGAGAGACATCAACCTGCACTCCCCACCGGGGATGTGCCTACAGCCAATGTACAATACATGTTCTTGACCAGAATCAAACCTGGGACCCTTCAGTCCGCAGACAGACGCTCTATCCACTGAGCCAAACTGGTTTCGGCAAGATGAGCAAGCTTTTAAAACTTATTTAGCAACTTGCAAGGGCAGCTTTCAATGAAGCGGAAAAGGCAGCAGTGGTCTGTAGGCTATCTAAAAATGTATGAAGCTAAAGTGCTTAATGGAAAGAGACATAAATATAGAGCCTTGGCCTGTCCATGTAATGGAATATCAGTCAGTGATTAAAAGGAATGAAGTGATACATGCTGCAAACATACCAAGTGAAAGAGACCAGACACAAAATGTCACATATAGGATTCCATCTCTATGAAAAGTCCAGAACAAACAGGCAAATTCATTGATAGAATGAACGGAAACTGCTTAATGAATACAGTGTTTAATAAAACTAGACAGAGGTAGTGATTGTGTAATATCTATATTTTTAAATCCTCACCCAAGGACATTCCTCCATTAATTTTCAGAGAGAGTGGAAGAGAGGGAATGATCTCCTACATGTGCCCCAACTAGAGCCTGGGCCCCAACTGGAATTGAACCCGGGACCCTTTGGTCCACAGTCCAACGCTCTATCCACCAAGTCAAACCAGCCAAGGCTATATAACATTTTTAATGAACTAAATGCCACTGATTGTTCATTTGAAAATGGCTAATTTTGTTATGTGAATTTCACCTAAATTAAGAAAAATTTTTTAAAAATATATTTTATTGATTTTTTACATAGAAGAAGAGAGAGGGACAGAGTTAGAAACATCGATGAGAGAGAATCTGTGTCTTGCACACTCCCTATTGGGGATGTGCCTGCATCCAAGGTACATGCCCTTGACCGGAATCGAACCTGGGACCTTTCAGTCTGCAGGCCAACACTCTATCCACTGAGCCAAACCGGTTTTGGCAAGAAAATTTTTAATTAATTTTTTCTAAAATAATTGAGACAAAACAAAAACTAGAACTTTGAAAGAAAAAGAAAAATAAGATAAATTATAAATCAGTATTCTGAAGGAGATTAAGCTGGATGGGCAGGGTTTAATGTCTTTAAGTATTGATACATGAAGAACTACTATGCAGAAGGTTACAGTAAACATGTTCACCTTAATACAACCGATTCCAACATAATAGACTACAAAGTTTCATTTATATCCCACCTTCTCCCTGGAAAACATAACTACTTCCTATTCCAGCCATGTAGACTCAGCACCCGGCTAGCTGCTTCCTGCTCAGACCACACTGACCCACAATTTTCCATAACTCTATGCCTCTCCCAGACTTCTGATCCAGATTTCAGTTGCCTTTTTCCACCAAGTCTCTCACAACCTAACCCTCATTTAACTTTTCCTTCCCCTGAGCCTTTTATACCTCCCTCCTCCCAAAGTGTACAAGGTGGTTACACTAATTGGATCTCAGACCTGTCCCTACCTCCACATGAGGATATTATGTGAAACTTGTCACTCTGTCCCTGACTGACGCTGTTAATCCAGACAGGAAAGACTAACTCCAATACAACTTTGTTGGGTGTCCTACCCATGGCACTGTGTCCTCAGTGTAACTTCTAGCAAGAGAGATTATATTTTAATTCACCAATTTCTCTAATTTTCCTGACCTTGTTTTGGAGAACTGTTCTGAGTATTTTTACCACTTTAATTAGGGTCTCTAAACATTCACTGAATATATGAATGTCTAAGATATTTCAGCAAATGAGAAATTCTTCCCATAGACTAAGGGCATAGGACCAACTAAAGTTAGTATTTTGGTGGGTGTCAGAGCAACTAAGCACCGCTCTAGAAAGTAGATACTGTGCTCCTCAGCCCAGATTCTTATAATCCAAACCACAAGGTTCCGGTTTCCTTTTCTCACCTGTTGCCCAGGTACACTCTGTACATTCTCAACCAGAGCTACAGCTTCCTCATTTTCTGGACGCTGTTTCTTCACCCAGGTCTGGAGCTCCTCCAGCAGGATTGTGAGAAACTGCTCCAAAATCAGCAGCTCCAGGATTTTCTCTTTTGAGTGTCTTAGGCCTCAGCCACTGTCAATAGAGTCCCAGAGTGTGCTGAAGGCTTCACGGGGGCCAGCTACCTCCTGGTAGCAGAACTGCCTGAAGCGCTGGTGGGAAGCTTCATAGTCAAGGCTGTTGTGAAGGGCTGATTCTGGCTCTGTGGATTCCTTGCTTGGGGATGAGTGTGCCTGGGAACTCTTCGTTGCAGCCATCCTTCGCTTCACGAACTGGCTCACTGGTTGCCACTTCCATGCGAGGTCAGATGCCAGTCTTTCCATATCACTGGGAAGGGTTCTCCTGGATACCAATGAAAGAGAATCGGAGACATGAGAGGACATAGATGTGCAGAATCATAGTTGAAAAGGGCCTCCCTGGCCAGATAGCTCTCTTGTTAGAGCATCGTCCCAATACACCAAGGTTGCAAGTTCCATCCCCTGTCAGGGGACATATAAGAATCAACCAATAAATAAGTGGAATAACAAATCGATGTTTCTTTCTCCCTCTCTCTAAAAATTAATAAGCCGAAACCAGTTTGGCTCAGTGGATGGAGCATCGGTCTGCGGACTGAAAGGTCCCGGGTTCGATTCCAGTCAAGGGCATGTACATTGGTTGTGGGCATGTCCCCGGTGGGGGCTGTGCAAGAGGAAGCTGGTCGATGTTTCTTTCTCATCGATGTTTCTGGCTTTCTGTCTCTTTCCCTTCCTCTCTGTAAAAAAAAAAATCAATAAAATATATTTTAAACAATAAAATAAAAATAAAATCTCCAATCCTTATAATATTCTTCTAAGGAGATTTTTTAAAAAGAATCAATAAAACAAGTGTGTGTGTTTTTAAAAAAGGAAAGGGCTCAACTTTGAAGGGAGAATGCAAAAATACAACATTAAACTGTCCTGTATTCTTTCCCTCTGCTTCTTGTGATTTATTTCCATCCTTTATCTTTACTCCCTTCACAATCTAAGTCAAGGGCACAAAACATTATAGAATATGAAAAAAAAAACATATAGTTTTCTTCCAGCCAGATTTCTCTCTATTAATGAATTCTTCAAACTACTCACAGTGCAGTCCAGCTGTCCATCCTCATGTCTGGGTCTTGTCCCTTTCCTTCCCCACCCTCAAGAACTGGACCACCTTTCCAATTGTAACTTTCTCTTAAGAAGAGAATAGTTAAAAAATACTATCAATGACTACATTCCAACAAACTGGAAATCTAGACATATTCCTAGAAAAATACAGTCTTCCAAAATTCAACCAGGAAGAATAAAAACAAACCAACCTGAAAAGACTGATAAAATTGAGCAGTAATTTAAAAACTTCCAGCAACAAAAGCCCTGGTCTCAAAGGCTTCACAGGGAGTTTTACCAAACAGTCAAAGAAGAACTAACACTATCCTCCTCAAACTATTTCAAAAAATTCAAGAGGAAGGAATACTTCTAAGCTCTTTTTATGAGCCCACATTACCCTAATTCCAAAACCAGATAAGTAAACTATATTCCTTATGAACATACTAAAATCCTCAACAAAATATTAGCAAATTGGATCTAGCAATACATTAAAAAGATAATACACCATGACTAAGTGGGATTTATTCCAGGGATGAAAAGCTGGCACTATATTCACAAGCCAATAAATGTGATACATCACATAAACAAATTGCAAGACAAAAATCACATGATCAGCCACTATTGTTCAACATAGTACTGGAAGTCCTAGCCATAGCAATCAGACAAGAAGAAAAAAATAAAAGGCATCCAAATTGGAAAGGAGGAAGTAAAACTGTCATGAAATGCAGATGACATGATGTTGTACATAGAAAACTCTAAAGACTCCATAAAAAAAACTACTAGATTTGCCCTAGCTGGTTTGGCTCAGTGGATAGAGAATCAGCCTGTAGACTGAAGGGTCCCAGGTTTGATTCCTAGTCAGGATACATGCCTGGGTTGTGAGCTCAATCCCCAATGGGGTGTGTGCAAGAGGCAAAATGATCAGTGATTCTCTCATCATTGATGTTTCTCTCTCTCTCTCCCTTCTTTGAAATAAAAATATACTTTATAAAAAAAAAAACCCTGCTAGATTTGGATGTGAGGGCTATTTGGCTGCGACATCTATCACCCCATTGATCACCAGGATTGATTTGGCTGATCTGACTGACTAGGTGGGTGACCCCTCCACCCTCACCAACCCATGTGCGAACCCATGTGCATCCCTCCCGAAGCTGCATGCTCAGTCGGAAAGGACTTGCTCAGTTGAAGAGGATGACCTTTGCCCCAGAGGAAAGGACCCGTCTTTGGTCAAGATATATGAGTAGCTGCACTCCCGTGCTAGAACCTTCAATCAATATCTCAAAAAACTACTAGATTTAATAAATAAATTCGGCAATGTAGCAGAATACAAAATTACCACCCAGAAATCTATGGCATTTTTTTTTTTTACACCAATAATGAACTCTCGCGAAAACTGGTTTGGCTTGGTGGATGAAGCATCGGCCTACTGACTGAAGGGTCTCGGGTTTGATTCCGGTCAGGGACATGTGCCTTGGTTGAGGGCACATCCCTCGTGTGAGGTGTGCAGGAGGCAGCTGATGGATGTTTCTCTCATCGATGTTTCTGGCTCTCTCTCCCTCTCCCTTCCTCTCTGTGAAAAATCAATAAAATATATTTTTTTAAAATAATGAACTCTCAGAAAGAGAAACTTAAAAAAAAATCCCATTTTTCATTGCAACAAAAAAATTTAATAAACTTAGGTATACACTTAACCAAGGTGGTAAAAGGCCTGTACTAGGAAAACTGCAGGACATTGAAAAGAGAAATAGAGGAAGACACAAACAAGTGGAAGAATATACTGTGTTTATGGACTGGTAGAATCAACATCATTAAAATGTCCATACTACCCAAAGCAATCTATAGATTCAATTTAATCCGTATTAAAATACACCACCATATTCCACAGATCTAGAACAAATACTCAAAAAGTTTATATGGAACTAAAAAAGAGCCTAATAGCCAAAGCAATCTTGAGAAAGAGGAACAAAGATGGAAGGATCACGATACCAAATATAAAGTTATACTACAAAGCCGCTCTAAGCAAAATAGCCTGGTACTGGCACAAGAACAAGCATATAGATTAATGGAACAGAATAGAATACCCAGAAATTGATCCAAGCCATTATGCTCAATATTTGACAAAGGAAGCAAGAGCATACATGGAGTAAAGACAGTCTCTTAAATAAATGGTGTTGGGAAAATTGGATAAATGCAAAAAAAAAAAAAAAAAGTAGGCCACCAACTTACACAAGAATAAACTCAAAATGGATAAGAAACTTCAATGAAGTCGTGAAACCATAAAAATCTTAGAAGAATCCATAGGCAGCAAAATCTCAGATATTTCTCATAGCAATATGTTTATAGATACTTCTAGGGCAAAGGAAACTAAGGAGAAAACAAACAAATGGGACTGTATAAAAATAAAAAGCTTCTGCAAAGCAAAAGAAACCATCAACAACATGAAAGCCCACTGCATGGGAGAACATATTTGCCAATGACACATCCAATAAGGGGTTAATTTCCAAAATATATAGGGAACTCATACAACTTAACAAAAGGAAGACAATCCAATTAAAAAAATAGGCAAAGAGCCTAAATAGATACTTCTCCAATGTGGACAAACAGATGGCCAAGAGACATAATGAAAAAATGCTCAAAGTCACTAATCATCTTGAGATGCAAATTTAAAGACAATGAGGGATCACCTCACACCTGTCAGAATGGCTGTCATCAACAAACTACAACTGTTGGCTACAATGTGAAGAGAAACCTAGCACAATGCTAGTGTGAATGCAGACTGCTGCAGCGATTATGGAAAGCAGTATTGCATTTCCTCAAAAAACTAAAAATGGAACTCTCATTTGACCCAGTGATTCCACTTCTAGGAATATAATCCAAGAAATCAGAAACACCAATCAGAAAGAATATATGCACCCCCTATGTTCATAGCCGCACAATTTATAATAGCTAAGATTTGGAAACAGCCCAAATGCAGCAGATGTGTGAATAAAAAAGTAGTGCATTTACACAATGGAATGCTACTGTAAAAAGCAAAGAACTCTTACCATTTGCAACAGCATGGAGGGACCTGCAGAGAATTATGCTAAGTGAAATAAGCCAGTCAGACAAAGATAAGTATCACATGATCTCACTCATGTAGAATCTAATGAACAAAATAAAGTGATGAACAAAACAGACATAGAAGCATGGAACAAACTGTGGAATCTCAAAGGGAAGGTGGGGGAGGGTGAGTGGATGGAAAGAGGTCAACCAAAGAACTTGTATGCATACATGCACAACCCATGGACACTGACAATAGGATAGTGAAGGCCTGGAGTAGGGGGCAGGGGTGGGCTAGAAGAGGTAAATGGGGAGGGGGGATTAGGGGGGTATGTAATACTTTCAACAATAAAGACTTAAAGGGGGGGGGGGGGGTTAGGTTGCCTTTCTTCCAAAGAACTTGAACTGCCTTCATTTATATTGTCTTTCCATTTTAATGTGGCAGTCTGGGCTAGAGCTAGAGGAATCAAAAGCATTGCTGTTAATAGTCATTTTTAACTAACTAACTAAATAAATAAAAGGAGTATCATATCTCCTCAGCAGCAAGGCTGGGACTAGAACCTGCAGCCATCCGCCCCCCCCCCCCCCTCCTTGTCTAACACATTTTCGTACTTTATCTGAAAGAATAATTTAACAAATGCTATTCTAATTTCATGCAGAAGGCGGAGCCGGCACTCCTCTCAACTGCTGACATCATTCATATAAATTTTAAAATTCTGGTCTCTCAAAAACCTGTTTCCCTCTGGCGATGATCCACTCAGCAGAAAGTAGGGTGAGAATGGGGACGGGCTGATTCACTCTCACTTGTCAAGGATGCACTAAGTGCCCCTAGAGCACCTGCTGCTAAAGCGGTTCTGCACTGTGGCTGGCGTGGAGTGGGAAAACATCCGCAGGCTCGCGCTGCAGGCAGACGGAGGTCACGGCCACCGGCCAGGAGGAGTCAGGGCGCGGGCACAGAGATGGGAACCCGGCCTGGTCCTCTCAGCTGCACCCAGGGCGCCAAGACTTAGAAAGGTGACCGCCGGGCATGCGAGAGGTGCCCGGGCCTGGTTCCACCGCTCTGAAACGACTTGAGAGGCAAAAGGTGCCCAGCTGCGGGCACTCCCCGGGCCCCCAGCCAGGAGCAAGCGAAGCACTCACCTGACGCCCGCACTCTCCTCTTCCAAGCCGCCGGCCGACTTCAGGCTTCCAGCGGGGGCGTTAACTGCCCTGTGCGAACGCTCGCGGGTCTCTCGGGTCGTGCCACCGGACTACAACTCCCAGGGTGCACTACGATGGCTGGAAGCCGTTACTCATCAGCATCGACAGATATACTAGCCAATAGGCAGGAGAACATGCCCTCGAAGATCCAATCCCGCTGCGAGGAAGGCGGCTCTCCCGTAGCGTGGTTCCTCCGCAGTGTGGGCGTGTCCGCGGCCAGAGGCTCTGCCCCGCCCCCGCCCTGGCTCCCGATACTCAGTGAGGTGAGTCCGCCGCCGGTGGGCGCGGGGTGCGGCCTGTCGGCGGCGCTGCCTTCCCGGGGGCCATCCCGGCTGGTACGCGGACACCAAGCTGAGCCGCGCCGGGAGCGCCGGAGCTTCGTCAGGCCCGGGGCTAGCTGGGGTGTGGAGCCCGAGCCGGGCTCTTTCGGAGGCCGGAACGGCTGGGCCTTCGGACCCTTGGAACGAGCCGCCACCGTGTCTCCGAGGCTTCCGCTAACTCCCAGCCCCGGCGGGCGCCGCGGCCTGCTGGGACCACCCCGCGGTGAGAGGCCGGAGGTCTGCCCAACCAGAACACAGGACAGCTGGTGGCGGCTGTCTGACAACTTGAACTTCTCCTAGGTCTTGTTGCGCATTTCTTCTTCTGAGACTTGGTGCGCTCATCGGTGAAATAAAAGCAGTAACTCCCCTACAGTTTCCTTTGAGGACTTTCTGACTTTTCTCCTTCACAAGATAGTTCTAGAAACTATCGGAAAGACAGACTCTTTCCACTCCCAGGGACTGTGTTGTCTTCAGGAGTTTGGAGTCAAGGCCAGTGAATGAGAAGGGCCTGTCTGCATCCTGTCCTCAACATCTTCAGAAGAACTTCGCTTCTGGCATTTAGGAAGACTTCTCCAGGGCTATGATCCCTCAGGCTTGAGCTGTTTACGAGGAGAAAAAAGCTGTCTCCTGAGCCCCAAAATGGCAGCTAAGATGGAGATAACTTTGAGTTGTCAGTCCCACATTCAGGCTTCTTCCAAGCCAGAGAGACATATCATAACAAAGCTAGAAGAGAAGCGGGGGGCGGTTCTGCAAAAAGACTGTCCCAATCCCGAAGCCTGCCGCCAGAGCTTTAGACGGCTTTGTTATCAAGAGGTGTCTGGACCCCAAGAAGCACTCTCCCGGCTCCGACAGCTTTGCTGGCAGTGGCTGCAGCCGGAGATGCACACCAAAGAGCAGATCTTGGAGCTGCTGGTGCTGGAGCAGTTCCTGAACATCCTGCCCCCCGAAATCCAGGCTCAGGTCAGGCATCGATGTCCAATGAGCAGCAAGGAGATGGTGACTCTGGTGGAAGATTTTCACAGAGGAGCCAAGAGACCAAAGCAATGGGTAAGGCGGGTCTTCTCTATTGGTCCGTAGGATTCTCCCCGCCCCCCTCCGCCCCCATCTGGATAGTGTTTGGTTTTTGGGCTCTCTTTAATTAGAGCCCAGGAATGGACCAGGTTGGCTTCCAACATGTTTTCTGGCCTCTGTTTTGGAAACATTCCCCTACCTCCAGATGTACCAGGTTTTCAGAAAACCCACCCAGGGGCCCTTCCATGACAAAGTGGAGGATCAGTAAGGTTATTGAATCTTTGCTGACAAATCTCCCCTCCATTCCTTTTGAAGGTTTCCTACAATCAGGATTCTTAGCAGACAGCGTAATCCTGTTGGGTAGGACTTTGGTTTATGAGTAACTTCATTGAACCTCGTTCCAGTCAAGTGTCTTGCATAGGTATTTCCTTTAGATCAGGAAGTCACAGCTCAGTTGGCTAGTATTCCTTTCAACCTGCACCCTCTAAATCAGACCAAGAGCCTCAGCAGGAAGCAAACAACCATTTGCTTTGGGGAATGGAAGCGGTTAGGGAACAGGAGTGGGGCAGTCCTCTTAGAGCCTTGGGCAGAACTATTTATTAGGTGAAGATGGTTTTTAATGGCCCTTACTACACTGCTTCCCAATTCTACAGAGCCTGTTTTTAGCAGTTGGGAGGCAGGTGGGCATAGGGTGGGAATCTGCTGAACCATTGTCATGACTGACCCTGTTGTCTGTGCCTGTTCTTTAATGACTTTGATTCAGGTCTTGAGCAAGGCCCAAGCTTTAGAGTTCTCCACTCAAGAAGTATTGGCTGATTTGAAGCAGCCTCATTCTGGTCATTCCCCATGTCCTTCCCTGTGTTTTCTTTGAGAGTTTCAGCAGTCTCTAAGTTGGCCTCCAGTCCATTGTCAGGAATTCCCAGTAAGGGGTCATTACAGAGCAGTGAGAGGTCAAGCTGCCTTGAGTCAGTCCTCTGACTGCCCTCTAATGCATGGGGCTTGTTCCTAGGTGGCTGTTTGTATGCAGGGGCAGAAAGTGCTCTTGGAGAGAACTGGATCTCAGCTTGGAGAACAGGAACTGCCAGACTTTCAACTGCAAACTCCTAGGAGATACCCTAGGGAGAACTGTTTGGAGGAGCCTTTCCAGGCAGGACTTCTGGACCAGTTTAGCCCCCATCAGTGGGAAAAATCCCCACTCCTTCTGGAGCCAGCCACCAAATTGGCTGGGACAGGTAAATGCTCTGTGCCTCCTCTCTCCCTCTCATCAGTCTTCATCTCCATCAAAGCATTCAGGGTTCTGAAAAGCTATAGATGAGATGATGATATTTTTTTAAAATGTTATGTGTAATAGTAGATCTTTATGCCTGAAAAAATTTCACTAATTAGAATGGTAGTGATATGCCCAGCCGGTGTTGCTCAGAGGTTGAACATCAACCTATGAACCAGGAGGTCACAGTTCAATTTCCAGTCAGGGCACATGCCCAGGTTACAGGCTTGATCCCCAGTGTGGGGCATGCAGGAGGCAGCCAGTCAATGATTCTCTCTCATCATTGATGTTTCTATCACTCCTTCTCCCTTCCTCTCTGAAATCAACAAAAATATATTTTAAAAAAATAGTAGTGATACTATACATAAGAATTCTGTTTTCATTTTCTGTTAATGACTATTGGACAATATAGTACACAACAGGACTGTTCTAGTGCTTTTCTGTTCCTTTTAGAGCTTCCTATATAGCGTAGACAGATCCAAATATGACCACTGATGAACTTCCATGCAAGCTAAGTTTCATCACTTAAAATGGTCCTATACTATTATTTAGAAGGGGCCTACAGAATATTCTTTTCATTAGAGAAAAAGCCCACTCCATATTATTTTCTGCCTCCTTCTCCAATACATTTTCTGTGCTTTAAACTTCTGTGTCCACTTCCTTACCTGTCTCTGGTACAATGCCAGTATAACTCTCAGCCCTACGCCACCCAGCCCTGTGATGCTAAAACTGAATGGCAGTGACATTGGCCAGTCTTGGTGAAGTAAATATAGGTTACAGTCAGCAAGTTAGAGAGTTACAAGAAAACTAGAGCCTTGATCCCTTCAGATTTGCTACAGTCAGTGAAACACTTTGATTTGATTATTCTCAGAACTCAAGAATGGAGAAGAACTGGGGCATCCAATAGAAATCATTGTGACTCTGGGTGAGGTCCTGCCCCATAATCTATGGCCTTCGTAGACCTGAATAAAGTGGACCACCCACACTCCCTTCCCCTGGCTCAGCAGAGGCAACTGGCTGTGTGTACTATCTTCCTTCATTTGTATGTTCTCATGCTTTTCATTCCTAAGATCCAACAGCGTCTTCCTTCAGAGCTGCACTGTGCAATATAGTTGCCACTAGCCACATGCAACTGTGTAGATGTTATTTATTGAAATATAATTCACATACTATAAAATTCACCCTTTTAGAGTGTGAATTTTAATATAATTACATTGTCTTTTAGTATAATTACACAGTTGTGCAAACATCACCACTAATTTCTGAATATTTTCATAACCTCAAAAAAGAAACCCATACTTATTAGCAGTCACTCTCCATCCCTCCCTTTCTAATCCCTAACAACCACTGTCTACTTTCTGTCTCTAGATTTACCTTTTCTGGACATTTCATTGTCCAGCATCATGTAAAATGTGCTTTTTTGTGATTGGCTTCTTTCACTTAACATATTTTCAAGGTTAATCCATATTTTAGCATGTGTCAGTACTTTATTCCTTTTTAAGGCTAAATGGTATTATATTAATGGAAATTTTATCAGTTGATGGACATGTGGGTTTCCACTTTTGGGTATTATGAATAATGCTACTGTGAATATTTGTTTACAAGTGAACATGTTTTCATTGCTCTTGGTTGTGGAGTGGAATTACTGGGTAACTATGTTTAACTTTTGGAGGAAATACCAGACTGTTTTCTAAAGAGGCTGTGCAATTTTACATTCCCACTAACAGTCTATGGGGATTCCACTTTCTTTACATCCTTGCTAACATTTGTACTGTTGTCTTTTTTGTAACAGCCATCCTATTAGGTGGGAAGTGGTATCTCGTGGATGTTTTGAGTTATTTCCCTAATAACTAATGATGTTGAGCATCTGTCCATATGTTTATTGGCCACTTATGTATTCTTTGGAGACATGTCTATTCAGATCCTTTGCTCATTTTTAAATTGAGTTAGTCTTTTTATTGTTGAAAGAGGTCTTTACATATTCTGGATACTAGACCCTTATATAGAGTTTGCAAGTGTTTTTCCTATTCTGTGAGTTGTCTTTTTACTTCTTACTTTTTGTTGTTAATCCTCACCTGAGGATCGTTTTCTCTGTTGATTTTTAGAGAGAATGGAAGGGAGGGAGGAAGGGAGGGAGGGAGAGAGAGAGAGAGAGGGAGAGAGAGAGAGAGAGAGAGAGAGAGAGAGAGAGAGAGAGAGAGAGAGAGAGAGAGAGAGAGAAACACATTGATTGGTTGCCTCCCACTCAAGCCCTGACCAGGGCTGGGGATGGAACCTACAACCCAGGTAGGTGCCCTTGACTGGGAGTTGAACCTGTGATTCTTCAGTGCTTGGGCTGATGCTCTAAGTACTAAGCACACTGGCCAGGGCTCTTTTTTACTTTCTTGGTAGTATTCTTTGAAGCATAAATGTTTATTATTTTAATTTAGTCCAGTTTATCTGTTTTTGTTTTTGTTTTTCTATATCTGTTTGTGGTTTGGTCACTTATATAAATTACCATTGCCTAATTTGAAGGCATAAGGATTTACATCTATGTTTTATTTTTATTTTTTAAAATATATTTTATTGATTTTTTACAGAGAGGAAGAGAGAGGGATAGAGAGTTAGAAACATCGATGAGAGAGAATCACTGATCAGCTGCCTCCTGCACACCCTCCACTGGGGATGTGCCTGCAACCAAGATACATGCCCTTGACCGGAATTGAACCTGGGACTTTTCGGTCCACAGGCCGATGCTCTATCCACTGGGCCAAACCGGTTTTGGCTCTATGTTTTATTTAAAGAGAGATTGGTTTAGTTCCTACATTTAGGTTTTTGATGAATTTTAAGTTAATTTTTATATATGTTATGAGGTGGGGATCCAACTTCCTTCTTTTGCATCTGGAAATCCAGTTGTCCCAGTACCATTTTATTTATTTATTTATTTATTTATTTATTTTAATGTATTTTATTGATTTTTTACAGAGAGGAAAGGAGAGAGATAGAGCGTTAGAAACATCGATCAGCTGCCTCCTGCACACTCCCTACTGGGGATGTGCCTGCAACCAAGGTACATGCCCTTGACTGGAATCGAACCGGGACCCTTGAGTCCACAGGCTGACGCTCTGTCCACTGAGCCAAACCAGTTTCAGCCCAGTACCATTTATTGAAAAGACTATTCTTTCCCCATTGAATTGTTTTGTCAACCTTGTTAAAGAGCAATTGATTATAATTGCATGGGCTGCTTATTTAAATTAATTAAAAGTATAAAATCCAGTTTTTCAGTCATACTAGTCACATTTCATGTACTCAGTAGCTGCATGTGGCTAGTGGCTGCTATATTGAATAGCACTTGCACACACGCACACACACACATATTGCCTACATGTCAAGGATTCTATGGGATAACACAGCTCTGGATCCTCTGACTAGCCCAGAGTCTATTCCAGTTAATTTCCATCCTCATTCTCAATCCTGTTAGAAGTTGGGTAGTTTCTGTAAATAGGATGCATATCTAACCCATATTCCAGGTTCCAAACACAAATGCTGTCAATTTTATAAGAAAAGGAAATCCACATTCATTGGATTTACCATTATTAAAGAGAAAGTGGTGGTTATTTAATGTCCATGAAGAGAGAGTGAAATTGCACAGTTGAAATTCCAACTCTCTTTCTTCCTTTTATTCCTTAGTTGATACTCAGGCCTTTGGGTTTTCTTTTCCCTATTTCTCCTTTCCTAAAGTTGGTTCCTAACTTTAACATAAATTTCCAGGTACCACCCCCAAAAGATTCTGACACAACAGTCTGCTTGTTTGGTAAGTGCCCCAGATGAGTCTAATGCAGGTTGCCAGTAGAGGACCACAGATTGAGAAACCTTACAGTATTTTCATAATTCTTTTGCTAAGGTTCTTTCTTTGAAGCCCAAAATATGAAACAGATTCTTTCTAATTATAGAGGCCCCCAGAATGAAAAGTGAGAACAAGGAGAATCCACAACAGGAAGGGGCTAAAGGAGCAAAGCCATGTGCAGTGTCACCCAGCAGACTCAAAGGGAATCGTCTGCAGAGTCCTGAACCAAGAGGGGCAAATATGAGTGAATCCTGGTTGTCGCGAAGGCAGGTCAGCCCCCCAAATGCTCAAAAGCCGTTCACTCACTTCCAGAGACATTACAGGGAACTGGAATATATCAGTAGCCCCCTAAAAAATCATCTACTGAGAGAGCTGAAGAAAAGCAAAGGAAGTAAAAGAAGCCTGAGCAGTCATTTGCAACATCTTAGTCACCAGATGACCCACTCAGTGAAGAAACCTTACAAATGTGATGACTGTGGGAAAAGCTTCACATGGAATTCAGAGCTGAAAAGACACAAGCGAGTCCACACAGGTGAGAGACCCTATACCTGTGGAGAATGTGGCAACTGTTTTGGGCGGCAATCAACTCTGAAACTGCACCAGCGGATCCACACTGGAGAGAAGCCATACCAGTGTGGCCAGTGTGGGAAAAGCTTTCGCCAGAGTTCAAACCTTCACCAGCATCATAGACTTCACCATGGAGACTGAAAGCAAAGCTTTGGTCAATTTGTTCAGAAGGAAGGTATTTGTGTTTCTCCTTTCCCTTATTTATATATAAATTATAAAGACTGTCTGCGGGACTTATAAGGAATGCAAGAGGTCCCTGGAGAATGATAGTGTACATTTCTCTGGTGAGGGATCTCAGAAGAAGCTGTTGGGGACATGACCATGCATGGTGACAGGGTAAAGAAATGGCAGGTTTGAACATTGGTTGAAAGGGAACTAGGGTCTCTGCTGGAGAGTGGGGCATAACTACTGAAGGAGCATCAGGATGATCCTACAGGAGTCCCTGTCCCATGTGAAATCTTTTCTGCACTGCTTTATTTATCCTCAAAGGTATATTCTATATATAGTTATACATTTGCTGTTATACCAGGCAATCTTTATCATGTACACACTTCTTTAATAAAGATGGGTGATACACAAGAATTTCAAAGCAAAAGTTCATTGGAATATAAACACCCTAGTATTCTTTCTGTAATTCCTGGCTGTTCATAACAAAGGACACATGAAGGGAGAATATGAACATACTTGTTTGAGGAGAGGGTTTCCATGCTCTTACCACACACACATATTGAGGGATCTTTTTATATCAAAGCACCCTTGATTTAGGAAAAGAAAATCTACACAGCTGCTTCAATCCTGTCCAAGGGATAGGGAAAAGCTACAACCAGGAGCAAGTAGTGGATGTTGATCGCTAAGCAGATGTCAAAGGGAATCCTTAGGACTCTCCTTCCTCTCTTGCCAGTAGCTTTAGGAATAACAGAATAATTGGGTAAATGAAAATGTTCTAAAACTGGATTATTTCAGTATGTTTACTGAGAATTATTGAAATGGGTTAATTATATATATAATTAAGCCAAAATGAGGTTTCTAAAAATGACAAAATATACTTATTTAAGATGTTAAAGTCCTGGAACTATGCCTGAGAGATTACCTAATCCCATTCCTTTATTCTCTCATAGTGGAAATTAAAATGCAATTATACAATTTTTAGTTACCCTGGGCAAGCCAGCTGATCCCCCAGTTGAGAGGAAACTTTGGTAGATGGGTGCACTCTCAAACAGAAAACTGGTAGGTAGCATTCTTCCTAAAGCATCAGTATCCTAAAGCCTTCTGGGGACTCTGAGAGGTGAATCTTGTTTCCTTTTGTTTTTCAGTTTCTAGTGGCTGCTTGTATTCCTTGTACATTTGAGTACATTTTGCCCCCTCAGGACTGTGGCTTGTGCTGTCATTCTTCCTTACAGCAAAGGGTCAAGTGCACACACTTACATTTCTGCCTTCCAGATATTTGTATACAGTTTCATTTGCCTTTAGAGCCTGCAACACGCCCCCCTTCCATCCTCTCTCACTTCACAAGAGTTGCCTGCTCTGCAAATCCTTCTCTGACAAGTTCTAAGCATACTTAGACTTAATGGCATGTCATTCCCTGTACCACTCTGCTCACCAGTGGTGCTCAAACTGGGAGTACATTTTGCCCCCCAGAGATTTGGCAATGTCTGGAAACATTGTTGGGGAAGGAGGGATAGCTCCTGGCCCCTAGTGGGTTGAGACCAAGAGTACAGCTAAATATCCAACAGTGCACAGGATGGCCCCCACAACAGAATTATCTGATCTAAAATGTATGTAGTTCCAGGGTTGGGGAGCTGAATCATACAAGATAAAGGGTCTTTAAGAGCAAGAACCTGTTGTACCACCATTTTAGCTGTTGGACTTAGCACATATGCCACCAGGAGAAATAGAGAAATAAGTGTCAGTAATTGAAGAGCCAGGGGCTCCTCGGGGCCCATTTTTGTCTAAATCAGAGATTCTAGTGACAATCTGTTGAATGCAGTAGATGAAACCTTTTGTCTTTGGGGCAGAGGTGGACTTAATGGAAGCCCAGTGGCCTTCATCATGCTTGGTGACCCTTTAGATTCTAATCCACAGTCCCTTTCCCAACAAATACATTAGGTTAGATATTAAAATTCATCTTCATTATTAGGCCTAGACTAGTGGTCGTCCCTGGTGGTCCGTGGATCACTGGTGGTCAGTGAGGTCTGAAAGGTTGGTGACCACTGGTTTAAGGAAACCTTTGGAGCAGTGGTCGCCAACTGGTGGTTTGTGGACCACTGGTAGTCCATGAGGTTTGAAAGGTTAGCAACTGCTGGCCTAGACCATACCTCAGGTACTCTAGTCTATTGCCTCTCACTGGTCAGGGCCTTGTTGGTTCTTCATTCTGTTCCTAACCTCCCCACCTCCTTTTTCCATGCCAATTTCACTGTCGTTTCTTAACTTTCCTAATCTTACTTATATCTGTATTTCTTATGGATGAACAGCACAAACATCTCAGAGTTCCAGAGGTCAGAAGTCCAAAATCAGTTGTGTTGAGCTGAAATTAAGATGTAAGTAGCCCTGAATCCTTCTGGTGAATCTTGTTTCCTTTTGTTTTTCAGTTTCTAGTGGCTGCTTGTATTCCTTGGCTTGTGGTCTCTTCCTCCATCTTTTTTGTTTTTAACATTTTTAAAAAAAATACTTTTTATTGATTCCAGAGAGGAAGGGAAAGGGAGAGAGAGAGAGAGAAACATCAATGATGGTCGAGACCGGCCACTTTCTGCACGCGTTCACGCCCCTCACCGGGGACTGAATCTGCAACTGAGGCATGTGCGCTTGACCGAAATCAAACCTGGGACCCTTCACTCCCTAGGCCGATGCTCTCTCCACTTCAAAGTACATTACCGAAAATCCAAGATGACTACACAGGTAAACACCTAGCCGCAGCCGCACACAACAATTTCAATAAAATACAACTAAAATATAAAATGGACATTACCCAGAACTACAGGAAAGTCGACTGACTGGAAATTCTACAACGAGAAGCAAGGAGAAAACCAGAAAGAAGAGCAGAGGAGCTGTAAAAGCCCAAGGTACGGAGACACGCGGCACGCGCGGAGAGGACGGAGCCGGAGAGGAGGGGCAGCTGAGTGCCTGGCTGGCGTTCCCTAGCAGGAAGAAGATAAAAGCTCCGACTATGCTGGGCCCCAGTTCCGACTGCTCTGAACCCCAGTTCTAGGCCAGACCCCGGGGACCCAGACTCAAACAGAGAGAGCTGGGCTGTAAGGCGGAACCTCGGGGGAGCGGCGAAAGGAAGTCCCGGCGGCGCGCACATTGTGCTCAGAGAAGGGACGGTTGGCTGTGCCGCAGGATTGCCCTGGCGGGAAGGAGACAGGGGCTCCAGACTGCTCTGAACGCCACCTCCAATCCCACTTCCAACTGAACTGAACCCCAATACCGGGCTCATTGCGGGAGAGCATAGACAGTTTGGCAGCAGGCGAAAATCGAGGGCACCTTTCTCTTAGAGGTGCTTGCAATGAGTACTGAAGGATCCTGAGACTCAGGAGCCGCATAGGGCAGGGCTGACGGAAGCCAAAGCTGTAGGCTCCACCCTGAAACCCCGCCCCATCAGGGAAGCTGCGAAAATGCCGAAACGAAATATATCACAAACAAAAGAAATGGAGGGCAAAAAGCTACTGGATATAGAGTTCAAATCTACACTTATAAGGTTTTTCAAGAATTTCCTAGAAAAGATCGATAAGACCTATGAGGATATGAAAAGGGATAAACTAGAATTAATAAGGAATCAACAAGAAATGATAAGGGATCAACAAGAAATAAAGAATACATTGTCTGAAATAAAAAATATTATACAGAGTCCTAAAAACAGAATGGAAGATCGCAAGAATCAAGTCAAAGATTTGGAACATAAAGAGCCAGAAGACACTCCTCCACAGAAGTTAGAAGGCAAGAGAATCCAGAAAATTGAAGATAATGTAAGAAACCTCTGGGACAACTTCAAGCGAACCAACATCAGAATTATGGGGGTCTCAGAAGATGAGAGAGAACAAGATATCGAAAACATACTGAAAGAAATAGTGACAGAAAATTTCCCCCACCTGGTGAAAGAATTAGACTTACAAGTCCAGGAAGCGCACAGAACTCCAAACAAAAGGAATCCAAAGAGGACCACACCAAAACAAATCATAATTAAAATTCCAAGAGCAAAAGACAGAGAATATTAAAAGCAGCAAGAACAAAGCAGATAGTTACCTATAAAGGAGCACCTATATGATTGTCAGCTGATTTCTCAACAGAAACCATGCAGGCCAGACAGGAATGGCAAGAAATATTCAAGGTGGCCGAAACCGGTTTGGCTCAGTGGATGGAGCATTGGCCTGTGGACTGAGAGGTCCCGGGTTTGATTCCGGTCAAGGGCATGTACCTTGGTTGCAGGTGCATCCCTGGTGGGGAGTGTGCAAGAGGCAGCTGATCGATGTTCTCTCTCATCGATGTTTCTGGCTCTCTATCCCTCTCTCTTCCTCTCTGTAAAAAATCAATAAAATATATTTAAAAAAAAGAGAGAAATATTCAAGGTGATGAATAGTAAGAACCTATAGCCAAAGATAATCTATCCAGCAAAGCTATCACTCCGAATCGAAGGTCAGATAAAGAGCTTCACAAATAAAAAAAGCTAAAGGAGTTCATCACCACCAAACCAGAATTATATGAATTGCTGAAGGGGGTTCTTTCAGAAGAGAAAGTAAATAAAGATAAAAATTATGAACAACAAATACGTAACTATCAACAAGTGAATCTAAAAACCAAGGAAATTTAAAAAGAAAAAATCTGATGAACAATATTAACTGTTGAATATAATAGAATCAGAGGTATGGAAGGAGAGTGAATTGATGATTGTTGGGGAAAAGGGGAGAGGGGGATGTGGGAAGAGACTGTGCACCTATGGATGAGGACAATGGGGGTGGGGAAAGGGCAGAGGGTGGGGTGGGAACCTGGTGGAGGGGAGCAATGGAGGGAGGGGGTGAAAAGGAACATTTGTAATAATATGAACAATAAAAATTTATTTAAAAAATGCATTAAAGCCGAGACCGGTTTGGCTCAGTGGATAGAGCGTTGGCTTGGGGACTGAAAGGTCCCGGGTTCAATTCCGGTAAGGGGCATGTGCCTTGGTTGCGGGCATATCCCCAGTAGGGGGTGTGCAGGAGGCAGCTGATCGATGACTCTCTCTCATCAATGTTTCTGACTCTCTGTCTCTCTCCTTTCCTCTCTGTACAAAATCAATAAAATATATTTTTTTAAAAATGCATTAAAGAAAAAAACAAACAAAAAAAAACAACAACAAAGTACATTACCTCTAGTCTCTATCATCACATCACCTTCTCTGACTTTGACCCTCTAACCTTGCTCTTCTTAGGAATATTATGATTATGTTGGGCTCACTTAGATAATTCAAGATAATCTCCCCATCAAGATCATTAATATAATCACATCTGCAAAATTGCTTTTGCATATCTAAGAGTTAAAACATGAAAGAACATAGATTTCCAATTTTCTTATTCATGAGAGTTGGGACAGAAACTCCTCCTTAAATAAGAGCTCCATTTCTTTGGTATACTTTGAACCTGTGTGTATGTGTTTTCTCTCTTCTAATTATAAAATCAATAATTGTTGAATTTAAAAAAATATATATTTTATTGATTTTTTACAGAGAGAGAGAGAGAGAGAGAGAGAGAGAGAGAGAGAGAGAGAGAGAGAGAGTTAGAAACATCAATGAGAGAGAATCATCCATCAACTGCCTCCTGCACACACACACACACACACACACACACACACACACCCGCTGGGGATGTGCCTGCAACCAAGGTACATGCCCTTGACCAGAATCAAACACAGGACCTTTCAGTCTGCAGGCCCACGCTCTATCCACTGAGCCATACCGGTTTCGGCTAATTGTTGAATCTTAATGTCTTTGGTACCTGTTTAGCAGTGAACCTTGAATAAAGGTGACAAAAGCACCACTCTAGCCGAAACCGGTTTGGCTCAATGGATAGAGCGTCGGCTTGGGGATTGAAGGGTCCCAGGTTCAATTCCGGTCAAGGGCATGTACCTTGGTTGCGGGCATATCCCCAGTAGGGGGTGTGCAAGAGGCAGCTGATCGATGACTCTCTCTCTCATCGATATTTCTAACTATCTCTCTTCTTTCCTCTCTGTAAAAAATCAATAAAATATATTTTTAAAAAAAAAGCACCACTCTATCACTCATTCCCAAAAGGTGATGCTACCTTACCTCCCCCAGCCCAGTTTTCCTTTGGCAGATAAGGTAATGAGTGCCTGTGATAATCTGAGGGCCTGGAGGAAGGTTCCTCAGCATCCAGCCACATTTGCATGTCTGGTTTTAAAGAGGTGAAGGGGGAGAAAGAGTAACATCAATTGGTTGCCTCCTGTATGTGCCCTGACCAGGAATTAAGCCCACAACCTGGGAATGTACCCTGATTGGCTTCAACCTGCCACATTTTGGTGTATGGGACAATGCTCCAGCTGAGCCGCACCAGCCAGGACTGTACTCGGTTCTTCAGATGTAGGTTTCCCCTGTTCCCTTCACCCATGCATGGTTCTACTAAAGAGTCTCAGCACAAAACACTGATCTGCTGTTTTGGAATCAGGTACCCCCTGTAAGAAAATATCATTATTGTATGCTTTTTTTATGGCTGAATAATATTTTATTGAATAGATAGATCATGTTTTGTTTTTCCATTCATTAGTTGATGTACATTTGGGTCATTTCTAGGTTCTTTTTAATAATATATTTTATTGATTTTTTACA